ATCAGTCAGTCGCCTTTTTAGATCTGCTATGAGCAGCTCTTCCTACTTGGCTAAGAGATAACAGCGATAAATGATTCGGCATAAGAGAAACTCTCATGAATAACGAGAATCAATGGTTGACTTAGTAAGAAAACTTAAAGTAACACATGACAGTAATAGACATGAAAGGTACCCGTGAAAAAGAAATTGGACACCCTGGTACGTCTATTGATAGACTACATCACTCGACATTCGAAAGAATCAGCCTTAACTGAACCTGTTAAATGGGAGAAGAGTTCAGAAAGAATTTTTTCAACCCATTCTCGAAATGTACATGTCACTAGACGCATAACTTCACCCATGATACAAAGCGAAGGCTAAAGTCCTCCGTAATTAAATTAGTGAGTTAAAGGCAAAAGACTGTAGGTGTAGGAGTAAGGTGCACTGAGAGCACAGGACCGCCGAGAGATTTGGAATGCTTTGAAATTCCCATGGAACTTTGAAGGAGACCTAGATGTGATCGATAGAGTCTTGAACGCTGATTACAAATATGGACACTAAAACTGCTACGTGAACTTCCTAAGAAAGTTATGAGCCTTCAAAGTTGGCAAAAAACGTTACTGAGGCGAGCTTACCTGGTGGAATCACAGTCGCCGTGGCTCTGCGCCAAAAACGAGTCTCATATTCGTAATCAGGGCACCCATTTACCCTTATAGAACAAGTTCCAGGCAAAAGCAACCGTGTTTCCACATAGGTTGCACCTCATTAGCGTTCTTTTGCAACTTTTAAGGCTCACAACTTTCTTACAAAGTTCACGTAGCAGTTTTAGTGTCCATATTTGTAATCAGCGTCCAAGACTATCGATGTACCTAGGTCTCCTTTCAAAGTTCCATGGGAAGTTCAAAATATTCCCTGGTCAGAATGTTCCCTATTGGCTAAAAGAACCTGGAGAATGAGTAAAAATGGTTGAATAAAAATCTTTTTCGAGCTCGGAGAGAATTATAATGAAAATTGTTTTTTTTCAGCAGTCTGCCCCACAAGAAGAAAACATACAGGAGTACGCTGGCGTAGCCAAGGTGTAATAATATCACAAGAAAAAATGAAAATTTCCTCCTGTGAATGAATCTGTTTGTAACATGAGACTCACTTTGATAACGTGATGGCACGAAGCGCTTCTTGAACGAACGCATTACGCACAACGTCTGACTTGCACATTTGAAACGGCGTCCTTCCCTCTTCGTTTTGTACACATGGATTCGTACCATTCGACAGCAGAGCACTCACAAAATCAGCGGAGTCTAAACCATTTCTAGTAAAAATACAACGACAATAGTGTCAGCAGCAACGCTGATGCCACTAAAGACAATACTCGCGACAAAATCGATGTTAATGAAAAAGGTAGAGTCCAAGTAGACGATAAGTGGCGATTTTACAGCAAGCGCCCCACCAACACAGTTAAGTTGCAGAAATCCAACAGGATCCACATATACCGTATGACTGATGTCAGAGTCCGCGATCCTTTGCGCGATTTTCGCGATTTGCGCGATTTTCGCGAAACCTGCGATGGATCACAGGAGTTGGAAGTGCCCGATGAATACTGCGAGGTGTTGTTTAATCCTGCTGCGAATTCTGCTTGGCAGTAAAGATTGGAAGACGAATGTTTGTGGTTCTACTTGTTTCATGTTCAATGTCTATTAGTTCATTGAAATGCTCTTGAAGGGTGTGGGTACTTAGGACAGAACGCGACTTTTTCGCTCTTCGCAACGCGACATCGCGCGGCAGGCTGGCGCACCCGCAGCGAAAACAACTACGGTATGGAAGAACGCGCGATTGGAGCGCGATATTTGTGTCGGCTTTGATTGCGACAAGGAGTTTGAAGCTTAATAGCCATGGATTTGATAATGAACGAGGAAATGGTAACCAGAAGTGGACCGCTAACTAGCAGTGAAGAGGGAGGTAGGTTATTTTTGCAGAGATGGATGGTAGAGCTTCTGGAGAACCTGGAAGAACGTTCGACTGTAAACTTCTGCATAGGGGTTATTTGGGGCCCTGATCATGAATATGACACTCATTTTTCACATTCGTGCTGATTAACGCATACTTTCTGCTTTCCTAAGCTTTCTTACCTACAGCGCTTACGACTAAGCTTAGGGGAGGGGAGTGAAACTTCTGAGTGAGTAAACCACGCACCGTGAGGCAAAAGTTGGAGTGTGTCAGACCACAGGGGAATGGCCTACCCACTTTGGAGCCCTACACTACTCAAAGGCTTAGTCCTATTGCGATCTAATTAGTGCGAGGGCGCAGACGAGCAGGAAGCAGGCGCCGAATAGCGCTAACAACACAAATCAGGACCCCGAATAACCCCTATACAGAAGTTTACAGCGAATTTAGTGGGAATCAGTTGTGGCGCGCCCGGCCCCAATGGCGCCAGCGTCAAAAATGAGTATCATATCCGTGATGAGGACAGAAGCGTTCCGTAAAAGATGTTATACTCCTTATGCAGATGTCTATACAACAATATGAACCCACAAAATGCAAGCATAACGACACTACTAACCCTCGTTCACCGATAATTAGTAAAACATCATTTGTTTGGCATCGCCCGGAATCGCGGAAGTCACAAAACGTTTTCAATAATGAGACAGAATTAGTGATTCACCGCATTTATCAATACAATGGGTGTGAGCGCGGGCAAGTTAGGAAT